TTAACCATTGCTGTTATCATTAAGTATTTAATGCCCTATTCTAAAATAAGGTTACAGTTTCTGACTCTGTCTGCCAGCTTACTCAGAGTCTCTGTACCTTCATCTTTTCATTATTGTATTAAAGTTCCGCTCAATATGTCTTGGAGGCAGGACTAGTGGTGGGTAATTCCCTCAAGTGTTCTTTGTCTGGGGAAGTCTTTATTTCTCTTTCATGTCTGAAGATAAATCCTGGATACAGATTTCTTGTCTGGCAATATTTATTTGTTAATGCAATGAGAATGTCATTCCACTCCCCCGGGCCTACAGAGTTTCTGCTGAGAAATCTGCTGATGATCTCTCCTATGGAGGCTCATTTTTACAATACTTTCTTTTATACTTTCAAGATTCCCTCTTTATCTTTGACATTTGACAGTGTCATCGGAAAGTGTCTTGGAGATGGCATTTTTGTATTGAGATAATAATGTTATCTATTAACTTCACAGACTTCTATGTCCAGTTCTTTCCCCAGGATTGGGAAGTTCTCAGACAACACTTTTGTAATAACAGCTCTGCCCCTCTTCTCCTTCTCTTCTGCTTTTGGTATACCCACTATTCTTAACTGGCTCTCCAGTGGAGACTGGTAGCTCTTGCAGGATTTCTTCATTTTTTAAGCTTGTTTTTCTTTTAAGTAAACTCTACATGCAATGTAGGGCTCCAGGTCACAATCCAAAGATCAAGAGTCAGATGCTCCACTCTCTGAAGCAGCCAAGCACCCCAGAGTTTCTTCACTATAAAAAATAATAATAAACCTTAGTTCTCTTCACTTCTACCTGAATCATTTCTAGATTCCACCTCTCAGATCATGTATTCTCCCTTCCACCTGATCTGCTCTATTTCCAATGTTTCCAATGCATTCTTCATCTCATTTACTGAGTTCAGCTCCAGAATTTCTGCTTGGTGCTTTTTTAGAAATTCGGTCTCTTGGGGAAAGTACTCCTTCTATCCATTCATTTTATTACTGAGTTCATTGAATTGCCTGATTCTCTTGTATCTTGTTGAATTCTGTTCTGACAGTTATTTTGAATTCTCTATTACGTAGATCACAGTCTTCTATAAATGTAGGGTTGGTGGCTGGAGAACTGTCATTTCTTTTTAGCAAAACCATATTACCATGATTTTTCATTCTTTTTAATGAGATTTTCCTCTGCCAAATAGTTTGAAGTAGCCAACACCCTTTGTACGTAGGCAAAAATTTGTTAACTCTGATTCTAACAGTTCATGGGTGGGAGGTTAGTGGACCTTCTTTAGTATTACAGCAGGTGGCAGAAGAGCACAAGTTTTTGTTTTCTCTTACCAGAGTAGCCCTGGTGGCTGTAAAGACCAGGCTCCACCAAAAAAAAAAAAAAAAAAAAAAAAAGGAAGAGACTGGCAACTCTGGAGGGGCCAGTATGTACTAAGTCCCTTGGGTTTGGGGTGTGCCCCACACTCCAGGAGGAGGATCCTCAAGTTCAGGAGTCCAACAGAGCTGGGAGCTCTCTTGCTGAACTAACAGGGCAGACAGTGCATAAAGTGTTTCTTCTTCTCTGCCTCCTTCCATTGCCTTTTCCTTTCCCCCACTGTCTTCTCCTGGTCATAGATGTCCTACCTCATGAGGAGGACCCTGCTCTGTGGCTTCATAGCTATGGGGTCCTCCAGTCATAGCCCAACGGGCCAAGTAGCCTTTCACTCACCCCTTTCCACCCATACTTTCTTGGCCCCAGGAGTCACAGGTGAGCATTACCACCACTGTAAAAGCCAGGGTAACAGGCCCCACCAAGCTGCCTGGGCTCTGGTCTCCCCGAAGACCAATACACACCCTCTCAGATGTAAACATGGATGGATCTCGTTGGTGTCTCGTGTGCTTTGCAGAGGAACCTTTGTTGGGTTTTGGAATCCTACTAGTTGTAAACAGAAAGGGGGAGACAAATGGAAGGACTCATTCTGTCATGTAGTTGACCTCACTTCTCCCAAGAATGATGGTTTTATCCATTCTTTCTGGAATTACATGGGCAGCTGGTCCACTAGTTTCAAAAGATTCCTCTTTTTTGTGTGGATAATTCATATCACATCCATACCTTCATTTCCTCTCCATTTCAAAGGAAATATACCCATTGCCCATCTAAAAGGAATCCAGTGTCATAAAGCCACAAGGTATACTGGAGGAGATGAACATTTCAGAAAATATATTAACATATACAGTATTTAAAATATATAGAAAGATCCCAAAGAGTATATTTATGACTTTATTGTTGGGGCACACATTTTTATAAATTTGAAAATTCCTCCACTACACTTTCCCACATACTCTGATCAGTGCACTGCCCTCCTCCAAGATACAGTTCAGTTTAGATGTTTGTATCACGCAGTGTCCGATCAGGAAGCAGAAACCACATCACTCATGTTAACAAGGAAAATCTGATATAAAGAATTATTAAGAAAGATGTATTTAATTATGAAAGAGATAAAAGAAATCTCTATGGAAACCAGGAGTAGAAGAGATAGGAAGCAGACATTACATCTAGGGCTGAGGTAGAGCATCCAAAAGATGGAATACATTTGAAAGAATAAGACTGACATCCTGTTTATTGGACAAGGTGGGACCAGAGTCCCCAGGAAGGAAAGAAATGCACCAACATGTTGCAGACAAAGCCTGTTGGGCAGGAAAACCCTCACTAGAGAACTGACAAGATTCCCTGGGAGGCAGCACTCTAGTACACAACCTGCTACAATGCCATACTCATTCACCCAAAGGCAAGGGAAACTAAGTCTTCTCCGGCCACTGTCAGTAGCATTGTAAGGTCAAGGGGGGAAACAACACCAAAAGTGGGACACCAAGGTGACTCACTCAGTTAAATGTCTTCCTTCAGCTCAGGTCATGATCCCAGAGTCCTGGGATGGAGTCCTGCTTTGGATTCTCTGCTCAGCAGGGAGTCTGCTTCTCTCTCTGCCTGCCACTCTCCCTGCTTGTGCTCACTCAATCTCTCTCTGACAAATACATAAATAAAATCTTTTTTTAAAAACACAAAAAGAAAAAAGCTTTTTCTCCTGCTATGTCTTGCTGTGTTCCCTCTGGTGCTATGTAGGAATTCAGTGTCTGCATAGACACAATCTGACTTGCATATGCCTCCCTGGATGAGATTAATTGAAAAACAAAGGAGGAATGCCCAGAAATTTATGTCTCCATTGAAATTTCTTGGCTGAAAGTGGCCACATTCTTACTGCGGCTCAAGGCTCTCATCTAGGGAGTAAATGTTTAAATTTGAAGGAGAAACAGGCACATGTGGTGCACATGTACTTCATGAACTCCTAGCCTCCTTGTCCTTACCACACACAGTCCCATATATTACTGTCCTGACCATTAAGGCTACACTTTCCTCCTTGCTTTGTGCTTGCATGTGGTGTATTGATATGACCCCAATGAAACTGGAGACAAAGCTTGGCTGGAAGCCTTTTGCCACTAGAGTGTCTGGTCCCCAGGCCTCTCCTTTCTACTATGAATGTGTCTGGAGTACTATTTTCATTTGCCATCTCAGGGTTTGCTGGCCAAACCCAACAGTGCACTAACTGACAAAGGCAGTGCCAAATGTGCCAAATGGCAAAAAGGAAACATTTATGACTTCCAGTGTCAACAAGTAGGGCACATACAGGGTAGATTTGAATCAAAAGACAATGAATTGATAAGGGGCAGATTTCACACTTTTAGTTCCTCAACTTCCACATAAACCATTTACTCACATTGGAACTTCCATATAACAACACAATAATTCCACATTTTCACCCATCTACAGGGCTACACTTAAAATGAAAAAGTTCTCACTCTTTCCCCCAAAATGGAGCAAACAGGTAGTCTCAGGCATTGAATCAGTTATATTTATTCCTTAAGTCCACAGTCATTTGACTATTCTGTTACCTAGAGATTATATTTGAAATATTACCATGGACAACATGCATAAAATCACACTGGTGAGAAGGGAGAAGGAAAATAGATAATTAATACAAATGACACATCTACATGATAAGATAGAAAAATATGCAAAGCGACTCCAGTCCTTTCCTATTTTTGGTCACAGGCAGGAGGAGTTGAGATCTGTGACCTCCTTCTTCCACTTCCAATTCCATGTCTTCCTCATCTCTCCCAGAACCACAACAGGTTGGTGTTCTCTACTTCAGGAGGCAACAAACCTTTATTCATTAGGGTCTGAGTCCACAACAGTCTGGCTTCCTTCTGTTTCCTGTGGGTTCCATCCACCTTTACAATTGGACTGGAAGTACTGAGAAGTGGTACATAGATCCTGGAACTGTGCTCATGATCAAAACTTTCTGTAATCCATCCAGGGTCTGAAAACACTCATCTTCATTTATCTCTTTTTTCTGGTAGCAGTTCTGTTCTTTCCAACTGCTGTTGACTCACAAGGAAACCCAAACTCTCATTTTTTCCACTCCCTGAAGTAATGCAGCACCAGTACTTCAGAAATAACAAATATTTATGAAAGTTCGTTAAGATAAGTATGTCTCATCCATTCCTGAATAGGAAGCATGTACAGTAGAATATTACACTCCACTCTTCTTCAAGTCCATTAGCCATACATTTCTTCAGAAATGTTCAGATGGACAATGTTTTTTAGTCAGAGTGCACATTTCCTAAATAGAGCTGGTAACCCACCCATAGTCTCTGGGTTCATCTGTACAACTCAAACTATATAAAATAAACACGATTTAATTCTTCAGAATAATTCAGACCTCATCTTATTTCATATCAAAACAATACAAAGAGTCCATGAAATAATGTTCATGATCAAAAAAACATGACTTCCAGTAGCAAAATTCAGCCAACCCCATTACAGCTGAAAAAGTCAACATTTATCTTCTAATACCTGAGCATAAGGCATGAACCAACTATTCTCATAACCACACCCCAGCAGTCTACACCAAGAAAAGAAGGGCAAGACACCAAGTCATTCAGGACTAACATCAGAGGCTAGTACCCCTGGGAATCCGCAGCTCCAGGAGGAGCCACCATGAGGAATCTGGGACAGGGTTAGAGCATTATGGGGACATAGCTTCAGGACCACAGGGGAGTAATGGAGATTCAGCCCCTGGGTGATCACCATCAACACCACAGCCTGAACTGAGCCCCAGCCCTGAGAGGCTCACCGGCTCCTCTGAAGAACAAAGAGGGTTGTTAATAGGTAAAGGGGTCTGCACAGGCCCACCCACCCTAGAGCAGATGGTCAGGGACACATCTCCTGACCTCAACCTGAAGTATGGAAACAGAGTCCCAGAGGAGGAAGCAAGAGAGAAGGAGAAAAGGTGAGAACCATCAGTCATGTTGTAGAATGACACATCCCCTTCCTTTAGGTCCAGGAAAACCCCTACCTTCTGGGGAATTGGCACGTGTTCTCCATTAGCAGGGAGGGAACAGAATTTATTTTCATACATCCCCACAATCCAGAACCCCTTTTCTGGGGATTCCTGGTACCAGCCTTTCCTCTCCACATCTCTCCTACAGACCCCCAGCGCCCACTCACTTTTAACTGTATGCCTGATCTCCACCTCCCAGTAACAGCACCCTGATGTGATGCCTTCATGACCCAAGACACTATAGACTCCATCTTCTGAGCCACTGGATGAGTGCTTGAAGGTCACACTAGTCTTGTCATCAGAGACAGCAAGGCTTTTATCGGCAGACTCTGGATCCAGTTTAACAGTCACTGCAGAGACAGTTACCAATCATTCAAGGACTTGCCCTACCACATAACAAGGCACACAACCACCACCACCAACCCCAACCAGACATCTAGCTGCATGCAAACAGGGCTAAACCTCATGAGATGAGAGCCTTCTGGCTCAAGCATACAGCCTCTAATTGGAAGAAGAAAGCATAAGACTGATCTGGGTGTTAGACATATCACAGGGCACTTGAGGGCCAGACAGGACTCCAACACTAAAGAATACCCATTTATATCCAGTATCAGTCACACCCAGTAATCTCAGCTACATGACTTTAACCACCCCATCCCACCCCACCACCACTGATGATGCCAGCATATGTATCACCACAGCAGGCTTAAGGAGAAGTCAGCAGCCATGGGATAGCAGTAGGAGCACCCAAACAACAGAAGTAACTCACAGGCCTGGAACTTCTCCTTCCGCCAATCTACAAGAAAACCACATTGCACAAATGTGAACAACCAATCAGAGACTTGAGGAGACTGTACGGACCAGTGTTAGTACCTATATCTGAACCAAGAGTTATAGGGGAAAATGTTTTGGAAGCATGCATGAGGTGAATTTATTTTTCACGCATATTAATTGTCTCTCTCTCTCACAGTCTCCCTCCCTCTCTCTGTCTCTCTCAGTCCTCTCTGACACACACACACACACACAAACACACACTCTCTCTCTGTCTCTCTCTCTCTCTCACTCATACATCCACAGCCATCATGCTACACTGTTCCCATGAAACCCAAGCCATAAAGCTTAACACCATTGAGGGCCTGGGTACTGTCCTAAAAAGAAGACTTTTTGCACAGATTTCATTATCAAAGTAAGCTTTCTCAATCCCTAGCCACACATCCGTCCTGAAAACTAAGTTTTCTTTTGAGAAAGAACTGAGGAGATCAAAATTTCTGAGGCCTCCATTTACTTATAAAGAACTGGCTGAACTGAACTTGCAGGTTGACTCCAAACCATGGTAGAGGCAATACAACTGGGTGGAGCTGCACTTGGAGGATGACTCTCAGCCGTGGGTGAGGAGAGTTCAGGACATGGCACCAGAGAAATCTTGGCCCATCAAGAGGTAATGGAGAAGATTCAAGGAAGGAGAGAGAGAAGTTCAAAGCAAGAAAGTAATGAATTTGCTTCCCTAGATCGTGGAGTATTGCAAGGAAAAACATCTCTATGTGTAAGGGGAAACCCAAAAAAATTGGATCTAGTCATCTGCTTCTCCTATAATCACCTAGAGAGATCAAAAGCAAGGATACACCACACATGATCAGCCCCCAAATATGGCTGTGTCCTAGGCCCCAGAAACTGTGAATATGTTTTGGCAGAGAGGACTTTACAGATGTGAGTAAGATTAAGGAACTGGAGATATGAATGGGGCAGGGCTGGAATAACAATTTCTCCATAAACCTAGACGGAACCTCAAACCCAATTATCCTAAGGACCATATCAAGCTACCCTCTGTAAAGTGAGGTCCTGAAATGAGCAAGAGAAGAATACAGTGGCCCTTCTCTCAGTGATGCAAAGTATGAACTCCTCCAACCTTCATACTCCCCTTTGGGAAGAAGAAAGGAAGCTAACTAATCACAGCAAATATATATCTGTCATAAGACCCTGAAAAGTCTGCATGGTAAAGCTGTTACCTCCAATAAGACAGACTCCAGAATGAAATTAGAACGATTATAAATTATCACTTATTTGTAGAGCATAACAAATAACAAGGAGGACAAGGGGAGATGGAGAGGAGAAGGGAGGTGAGGGAAATTGGAAGGGGAGGTGAACCATGAGAGACTATGGACTCTGAAAAACAACCTGAGGGTTTTGAAGGGGTGGGGGTGTGAAAGGTTGGGGGAACCAGGTGGTGGGTATTAGGGAAGGCACAGATTGCATGGAGCACTGGGTGTGGTGCAAAAACAATGAATACTGTTACACTGAAAAGAAATAAATAATTTTAAAAAAAGATTATAAAATAAGAATAGGACACTTTCTTGAATATTTGCCGACAACATGGGACCCCTATTCTTCCACAGGTTTCTTCAGATAAAGTAGTATGTCCGGCTCTGTTGATTTGCTTATACCAACAGATCACATGAAGTGGGTGGACATGTCACATTTTGAGAAAAGGGAACTTTACTTGTTCTTCACTAAGACATTAGCTGACAGCAAACTCTACATTCCTATATGACAACTGACACAGATTAGCAAAGAAGAGGAATCAAGTGGAGGAGAAGAAGAGGAGAAAGGGAGTTGGTGTTCATTCTGAGACTCTACAGTGCACCCCGAGCTATGCTGTGCACGTCTGTGGACCAAGTGCACTCTTCACCTCATTTCCACAGAAAGCTGTTCATTAGAAATTATTCTTCCAATTTCATGAATAAGATCAGATCAGACATTTTTTCATATCACATTATGAGCCCACCAATGTGAAAGTGTTGATTCTACTGTAAGGGTGTCTGTCCTTACAAAATAAAAAGAACATATATAAGGTATACTTTAAACACAGACATTTCAATCCAGCAGAGAATGGGGTGATTCTGAGAGAAGACTATTTAATCTACATTTTTAACTGATAAGTCCCAAGATTCAGTGAGGCTCTCTAAAGAGTTTTCCTCACACATCTGTTCCCCATAGACTCTTACACCCCTGGCTCCCCCTTCTCTGTTCTCACAGGCTGTATCCCTCATCATAAATAGAAACAGCCAGGACAGAAAAGGCACATGTTATGGATTCAAATCAAAGGATTATTGGCCAAGATCCATAACCCACCCCAATGCTAAGAGGGTGCTCTGGATAAACTTTCATTGCATTAGCAAACCTAGGATCATACTCCTCCCCCAGGCTACTACAGGAAGGGTGAGATGGCCTCATTATGTGAAGCAAACCCAGTTAGAAAATTACTTCCAAACACCTTAAAATAAATATAAGTCTTTTCAGAAAACTCTCAAACACCTATCAAGGGGTTTATTACTTTTTGCGCACCCAATAACTTGTATGTCCTCTGTGTACTTCCAACTCGAACCACCATGGCTGTCATTTGTGGTCTCTCTTCTACCAAAAGCCACCCAAAGTGTCTCTTCTACCCTCAGCTACCCAAAGTTTCTCTGAGAGGAATCACAGGCTCTCTACTTTCCTTCTCATCTCCTCCTCTCTTCTCCAACCACCTTTTCTTTCCCTGATTTACTCCCAAATTTTCTCTGGTAAACAATTTTCACTCCTCTGAGCTTCTCCTATTGCAATCCTCACACATTGCCCCTAATAAATCTAACCAGTACTGAGCCCATCAGGTAAACCCAGAATTCTCCTAAAATGAGAGATAATGGTTGTGAACAACTATAAGTTACTGTCCTTTAAAAAATTAATTTCTTAATGCTGTAATACAAACATGTACATAAGATTTTGTATATAATGGCCAGTATCTCACAAACCCAATACCAGGATTCCCTAAACATCCTGGAGGATCTGGATCTGAGAAACAGAACAGCTGACCTAAAGAAAACTACAAAAAAAAAAAAAAAAAAAAAAAAAAAAAAAAAAAAAAAAAAAAAAACAAAAAAAAACAAACCAGAAAAACCAAAGCAAGATCCAAAAAGAGATAGGAATTTCAGGATAAAATGGATTCAGAAAAAGGATCCCTATGGAAGACCCGAGTCCTAAGCAGGCAAGCTTGATTTCTGAAATCTTCCAGAGACAGCAAATTCTGAAGTACACCGTCAATGCCACAGTCCAACTGCCCTTAAAAATGATGACTCTGTTGTCACTAGACCAACAAACTATCAGTTGAACAAGGTGTGTCCAGAGGGTGCTGCTAATTTTAACAGCAGCCTACAGTAGAGGATGGGTCAGAATAGAGGCAGATCTGTGTTCCCAAGGACAGTCCCTGCAGTCTTCAGAACACAACAAACATAACAAGAAGATCAGGGACAACAACCCCATCCTGGTGTGAGGTCCAATGACAGAGAAGGTGGCACAGTGGAAGCTGGGGAGGTAAAGCCACAGGAAACTGAGTCACTTACCTGCATACAGTTTTGCCTTCTTCAAGGCTGAAAAGGAAGACACGCTGGTGAGACATGAGCCAGAACAAGTCTGCATATTATTTATCTACTGGCACTTGCCTCCTCTCTGTGCTGCAGGTGACACTGTAACAGAGTAAGGAGAGAGGCTCGAGAGGAGATACCCTCCTGACCTGGACAGACAATAGGATGTTCTGGGAAATTCCCTGGACCGCAGGTCAGAGAGACAGCATTGCAGGCTGAGTTCCATGCCTGCCTGTTGCTGCTGTGTGACCTTTGCCAAGTTAGTGTCCTGAGTCTTAAAAACCACAATATTAAAATACAAACTTTGAGAAACAAACTGAGGGTTTTGGAGGGGAGTGGGGTGGGAGGTTGGGTGAGCCTGGTGGTGGGTATTATGGAAGGCACATATTACTTGGAGCACTGGGCGTGCTGCATAAACAATGAATTCTGGAACACTGAAAAGAAATTTAAAAAAAAGATATATGTAGTTGAATAGTGAAACCATCAAAATAAGACTTAAATTAAAAATCAAAAGCACTTTTAACTATTAAACTTCTATTCTCCTACGGACAAGTAGACTTAAGAGTCAACCAAGAAAAACAATTTTAACCAGAAGAGACAAAATTTAAAAAATAAACAAATTCAGCAGAGTCCAAAGAGACAAATGAAAATAACATAGAACTGAACGATTGATTATAACATTAAGAATCTCTAAGGTGAAAAAACTCTTAAGTTCTTCATTCAATTTTATGCACACAAGCATTGCAAGGCCAGTTATCTATATGCATTTGATTGTCTGAACAATAGAAGAGACACAACTTCTGTGGAAACACTGAACCCATAAGAGTCAGGTAGACCTCCTGGGGCCAGTGGAGAAGAATTTTAATCTCTAAAGAAATTTCATGTTTAAAAAAAATTGGTAGCAGTGTGGGAGGTACTTAGCATAAATACAGTCAACATCTAAATCTGTTTCTTCTTTTTTTATGGGGTGCAGCAGGATTCAGCAATATGTCAAAGTGTGCATTTCAAATAAATTTTGATAAAAAATAGTATTCCTTCAAAGAACAATACACTATGTCCAACCATTCTTGATTACCAAAAGAAAATACATAATATTAACAAATTTCATCCACAGAATTTTTCTGAAATGAATCCCAAATCAATTGCATCCCAAAATAAAGAAATTTTCACATGGACAGGAAAACACACAAAATTTTTATTCCATCTGCTTTCAATTTGCCTTAAAGGTCAAAAATTATACAATGTATGAAAATATATTAGGGAATAAAGTATACATTATTCCATGAATGTAAGAAATCATTATTACATCCAATGATTTCCAGGACAGAGAGATATGGGAAATAACACAAAGGGAAGATGAAATAAGGACCGGGATGTTAGGTAAGCTCTATGGTAAAAGTAAGCTCTACAGTAAAAATGCAAATGTTCTCAGAAAACACATTACTGGTCCAGTAATAACTTATCCCATTACATTCCCACCAAAGCTCTGCCCAGTCCTCTACCCAACACTTTGTGATCAGTACCTCCAGGAACTGCAGAGGAAAGACTCTCCCACGATGGTGTTATGTGAAGAAATCACACTCCTAAATTTAATGACCACATTTATTTATATAGTTTCTCTAAAATATTCCAGAGTATTCAGGATAACTGAGAACTAGTTGCACTGAAGGCTGAAAAGCTACAAAGGAGGTGGGTAGATAACTCAAGATGCACGACAGACTCCAGTGACCACCATCATTCCAGGTTTCAAAGCACCATGTGCGAAACAATAGCCCAGATAGGGAAAGCCCATGGAGCAAGTTCTGCCTCCCGCCAGTTTCCACTTCTGCACCAGGGACGGGTCCTCATGTCTCTGCATGAAACAGAGAGGGGACACTATGGCTTAGGGGGCAAGAGACCCAAGGATATCTGGACAGTCACTCACCAGCCAGGTAAACAGATTTCCTCCAGTCTGAAAGGCAACACAGGAAACAGGTGAGCTGAGAACCAGAATGTCTCCTACAAATGTGACATAGAAACTTCTGTGAAAAGGACACAACATACCAAGTTCTTCCTGGAGTTCATCTGAAAACAAAATGAAAAATACACATAAACTCCCATCACTAAAAGCAGCAAAGACTGCACCTGGAAAACCCACAAGAGCATCTATATGTCTCCATGAAGATCTAACTCCAGACCCCTTGAGCCTCCACAGCCCCACCTGTCCTCTCTGGTCCTCCTCAGCCCCCTGCGCCTGGCCAAGGGCCTACTGTCCACTTCTCTGCACCAGCTTCCACACTGTCTGCCTTGGCCCTGTCCTGCCTTACCTCTGGCCTTCAGTGCCTCCTCCTTTATCTGCCGGTCCTCCTCCTTTTCTCTGTGCAGTTTCTCCCATTCCTGCCTCTGCTGGAGCTTTGCAGTATGTTCTCTCATGATGTAGAAGACAGCCCCAAGGAGTAGGAGCATCAGCACAGTCAGGATCACCATGAAAGCCAGCTTCCAAGGAGAAGTCTGAGGGAAGAAGGGTTCTGTGCCCAGCCAGACACCCCATCAGGGCACTGCTCAGGATGGCCCAGCCCAGAACACACAGGGACCCCCAACCAGATAATCCCACCCTTCTAGGAGTGGGAAGTAGTACTGACCTGGGATGAAAATGGCCATTGCCTTCTCCTGGCCCAATATGGGGTTGAGGACTGAGCAGGTCACATTCCCAGAAGAACTGTCCTTCACCACAAGAGTTGCCTTTATGGTGAACAGCCCTTCAGCATCTTGGGCTTGGGTCTCAGAGAACGTCAGGAACTTCTCTCCGCTTAGAGCTCTCCACTGCACTTGGGGCTTTGGGAACCACCCCGAGGCCATGCACACAACTCGGACCCCGTCCTCCTCTGGCCCTGTGATGTGCACTTGAGGGGCAGAGCCCACACCTGAAGAGAGAAGCTAGAGAGCACAGGGAGGCCACCCAGAGCCCACGGATACCAGCAGAACCTTCGTCTGTACTCAACTTCAAGGGTAGCATGGCATTTTGGGGTCTCCTTGTGGGAGTGTTTCCTACAAGGGTTAATTTAAGGGGTTCTGCCATGGGGAACAGAAGGAAGGATCATGGGGACCTACAGCAGGACCAGAGGGCAGGCTCTTCTCCATAACCATGAGGGTGGGAATTCCATCATTCAGAGTGATGGAGGAATTTGGTTCCAGGATCCATCCTTCTCTGCTCTTCTCAACTCACACACTCTCCAGGGCATCTGCGGGCACACCCACTGCCACTCGGTCCTCAATTCTTTTTTTTTTTTTTTTTTTTTTTGGTGACTAATTGGTTTTTGTTTATTCTACTTTCTTTTTTTTAATAATAATAAATAATTTTAATGTGCTCTTATTTTCTCATGCATCCCCCCGCCCCCATCTGAAGCCAACTATATGGTCTTCCCATCAATATCCCTGTTCTGTTTTTTTCCTTTTTTTTTTTTTTGTTTCTTTTCAGTGTAACAGTATTCATTGATTTTGCACCACACCCAGTGCTCCATGCAATACATGCCCTCCTTAATACCCACCACCTGGCTCCCCCAAACTCCCACTCCCGCCCCTTCAAAACCCTCAAGTTGTTTTTCAGAGTCTATAGTCTCTCATGGTTCATCTCCCCTTCCAATTTCCCTCCACTCCCTTCTCTCCATCTCCACATCTTCCATGTTATTTCTTATGCTCCACAAATAAGTAAAACCATATGATAATTGACTTTCTCTGCTTGACTTATTTCACTCAGCATAATCTCTTCCAGTCCCGAACTTTTGGGACTTCATCAAGATCAAAAGCTTCTGGACAGGAAAGGAAACAGTCAACAAAAAAAAGAGGCAACCCATGGAATGGCAGAAGTTATTTGCAAATGACAGTTCAGACAAAAGGTTGATATCCAGGATCTATAAAGAACTTCTCAAACTCAACACACACAAAACAGATAAGCATATCAAAAAATGGGCAGAAGATATGAACAGGCATTTCTCCAATGAAGACATACAAATGGCTATCAGACACATGAAAAAATGTTCATCATCACTAGCCATCAGGGAGATTCAAATTAAAATCACATTGAGATACCACCTTACACCAGTTAGAATGGCCAAAATTAGCAAGACAGGAAACAACGTGTGTTGGAGAGGATGTGGAGAAGGGGGAACCCTCTTACACTGTTGGTGGGAATGCAAGTTGGTGCAGCCACTTTGGAGAACAGTGTGGAGATTCCTCAAGAAATTAACAATAGAGGTTCCCTATGACCCAGCAATTGCTCTACTGTATTTACCCCAAAGATAAAGATGTAGTGAAACGAAGGGCCATCTGTACTCCAATGTTTATAGCAGCAATGGCCATAGTCGCCAAACTGTGGAAAGAACCAAGATGCCCTTCAATGGACGAATGGATAGAGAAGATGTGGTCCATATATACTATGGAGTATTATGCCTCCATCGTTCATCACTTCTACCAACCTACATACCTCCTGAGCTCGCTGGCTAATATCCACATCTCTGGCTTAGCTGTGCCAGGATTCCTCACAGATGCTTCAGACTCAAATCCTGAACTAATTCATGTTTGGCCCCATCTCTGAGGATAATGAAAATATCCCCAATCTTTCATTCTTCTTTACATCCAGCCAGCCCTCTGCCGCCTACTGTTAATGCCTTCACACTCTGCTTCTGGGCTCCATCCTGTGACTTGACTCAGCCCCTGAGAGTTCAGGGAATGAGACTCTAGCAGAGGTTGGAAACTGCTTGTGCCATTGCCTTGTCCTCTGCCACAGGACAGACATCTTCAGGCTAGCGCAGCCTTTCCAGCTGAAGCTGTCCTAGATCAACCAATAGCCACCTGGACAACACCAGCTGAGCAAATCCAGCCAAGGTCCACTGTCAGGACAAAATAAATTAAAATAAGAAGCTTATTGTCCCTGTCGAAAATAGGGAAAGAGAGCCCCTTCCAATCCTTTTTTTATAGCATTTACTTGAGGAAACTTGTGGTTCTGAGAATTTTCTCTCCTCTTTGATATGTATATAAGTACTTTAAAAAAACAAAAACAAAACCAAAAACAAATAGGCCTTTTGCCAGTTCTGTAATCTAAGAATGTGTTTCTCAAGGACCTGGGAGCTCTCTCTTTGAACTGTTCACACCAAGGAAGACAGCAGCCCTCTCTTCCCCTTCTCTGCCAGGGTAGGAGCCTAACCTCAGTGGGCACCATGATCCACGTGTAAAATCACTGCCTGTCATCATGATGGGAGAATTGGTAAAAAACAAAAACAAAAACAAAAAAAAACACTACTTTAACTTTTATTTGTTTGGGAAACTGTTTATCTCTCCTTCTATTCCGAATGATCCCCTTGCTGTTTCCATGGCTACAGATTTTTTTTTTCCTTTTAGCACATTGAATATATCACACCACTCCATTCTGGCCTGTAGAGTTTCTGTTGAAAATTCCACTGAGTATGTGAAATTGTTGAATCACTATATTGCACACCTGAAATGAATATAACACTCTATCTTAACTACACTGGAATTATTTTTTTTTATTTTTAAGGTAGGAGAATTTGGTTTTCCTCAGAATAAAGCCAATTAGCTAACTTACATGCTCACCCAATTTCCAAGCAAATATAAGGTGCACCATCTAGGACAAATGGTGCTGGCAAGTCCACCTACTTGAGGGCTCGTAACTGTTGATCGTGAGAACGTGTATGGAATGAGTTCTGTCTGCATATGGAAAAGATGAGATTTCTTCTGTCTTTGCATTTCTTGATAGAATCTCTGTGATGCACAGCACTTTATAGTTAATGCTAATTTAATATTTAAAAGGATCTTCCTACTATCTTAGAGACAAGATTCTGGGTTGGAAGATTATGTTTTTAATTATATTTCCCCTACGTGACCGAATATTTATAAGTAAGACCTGTTAAGATTAGCCAAACACAGCCCAGATAAGCTAAACTCCCTGAATGCCGGATTTAAAAAATGCTCTTTGTTATAGGCCAATAAGATTTCCATGTCTGTGTTACACAGCATTATGGCAGCAACCTGCAAGCTTACACATAAAATCAATATTTCTAGCACTAAACAATCAATTAAAAAAAAAACCTGTGAGTACCTGAAGTCCCTTGTCCCCAAATCTCCTCACTCAGCTGGGTCTACATCCAAACCTCTCTGATGCCGGAGTGCTCCTTTCCCACCGAACTGCCTCTACATGAATACAGGGGGCCATCCTCTTCACCCCATAACTACATCCAGGCCTCCAGTCTTGCTCACCTTCCATACACCTTCCATTACAGCCGCCAAAGCAAACCTGCCCTCACACACCTCGCTCCACTGCTCTTTTTAAAATTCCCTCAGCCCTGCTTCTAAATGGCATAAGAGCACATGAAGCCTTTGATGGTCTGGTATTAACACCCCCACTACCTCACAAATGAAACTCCTATCCACTTCCTCCCCAATCCCACCATCCTCACCTGTGAGGGAGTACACAGTCCAGGCCCAAGACAATTCGGTTGATTGCTTAGAACCACAATCACCATGCTGTGTACACGCCACACAGATCCATCAACCAGAAGGCCATTTCAGATCACTGTCTGCTTCACTCAAATGTCTGCTCAAGTTACTCATGGGCTTCTCCTGATAAATCCCATCTCTGTGCACCCAGACCAGGAACACCTCTATATTCTGGATAGTCACTTCTCACCACCCTCCCATTCACCTCCATACCAATCATATGGCCTCTCTCTCTGCCCAGACTCACCAGCCACACTCCTCCCTCAGGTGTCTCATATGGGTGTTCTTCTGCTTGGAACTCTCACCCTTAAAATATTTATTTGGCTAAATCTCTACTCACCACCATCTAACAGTGTCTATAACCTATCTATTTGGCCATTTATTGTCTGTATAATATAAACGCTACAGGTCAGGGACCTTTATTTGTTACACTGAGATATCCAGGTGCAGAGAACAAAGCAATCACATGACAGGAGTTCTATATGTGTATACTGAATAAATGAAGAGTGAAAGACCCATTTTCCCTCTTTATAAATTGAGGACTATTAACTTAGACCCTGAGGTGGCTCCAAATTCCAATACTGCAGGTCTCTAAAATAGATCAGCAACCCACCTGCCACCTTCAGTTCCAAACTGGCCTCTTCATAGAAGATTCCCTTTCTGAAGAAGCAGGTATACAGCCCGTTGTCAAAAGCCTGGACATTGTGGATGCTCACTGCAGCCTCCCCCTGGGTGAGGAAATCCTTCACCAGTGAGGTTCGCCCTCTGTACTGAGCCAACTGCTCTTCTGTCTGCTCCTGCTGGTTTTGATAGATGAACACTGCTTCTGAGAACTTGGAGCGGAACCACCGCAGCTCCATATTCTCCACATCCATCACAGGGGACACATGACAAGGCAGCATGGTGTCCCCACCCAGCACTGCCACAATGGGTTCCGAGGGGCCAATCACAATAAACTCCTCTGTGGACACAGACATAGGAGTGAGAAAGCTAGAGAGATACAGGACAGGGAAGGAAACATGCTGTCAGGAGGGAGGCCCTGACTGAGGGATACAGCTGTGACAACTCCTAATGGAACAATTTTATCCTACAACAAATTTAAAATACACAAATGGTGTCAAAGAGTCTCCTCAGCAGCCTGTGCTCCTGACTCCAGGCCCTTCCATGAAGGACATTCTGATTCAGTCATTCTAAACTTCCACAGGCATCACAATCACCAGGAAGACCTGTGAAACACAGACTGGTGGGCTCTATCCCCAGGCCTCCTGGTTCAGGTGGTCTGGAGTGGGTCCATTAATGTGCATTTCGAAGGAGGTGGTGAGAAGCTGATACTGATGATCCAGGGACCACACTCTGAGAACCACAGCTCTAACCTGCCTCCTTTTAGGACAGGACTGAAAACTCACCAAAGAGCACTACAATGGCCTAGCGGTAACATCCTACTCTGCACCACACCTGAAACTTTCCTACACATGCTCCTAAATTTATTATTTCTGCCCATGTCTTTGTTCTCTGCTGAATTCTATGTGCACTAAAAACTAGACCTTACAGCTACTTCCATTAAAACCTGCCTTCACTCCACTGCTCACAGGACCCAAATCACTATCTGTTCCCAAAGAGGATTCATCCCACTGCCCCCAGCCCCTCACAGGCCTTGGTCTTCTGAGACCTGAGGTCCTGCAGGACACTTCTGCAGGACATTTCTGCAGGACAAACCCCACCAGACAACCAAACACTGACTTCTCAGCTCCTGTGCTACTCAAATTTGGATGAGTCACTATCTGTCTCACCTGGGGGATGACAATTACTAGTCTCCCTGTGACATCCTCCCTCCAGTCAATATCTGTGAACCTTTAAACCATGTTTGGTTCCATGAAACCAAAACCATGTCCCTCCTCTACCAAAGCACTTCAATGCTTCTGCAGTTGCCCAAGTGATCCTGAGCCCATTAAGGAAGACCCTCCCTGCTCTCTGATCCCCAACTCCTGCATCTCTCCCCCTCATTCACTCTGCTCCTGCCAACACTCACCTCCTCTGTTCCTTGAACACCCAGACACACTGCCAGCTTTGTCTTGCTGCTCCTCACTGTGGAGAACCTCTTTCCATGGGATCCAGACAGGCTCCTCCCACCTCCTCCATGACTTTGTTCCCATCTCACTGCATACAGTGACCACCTTATGGAGCACTGCTGCCTGCCCACTTGCCATCCTGCTGCCCTGACTGCCCCATCTGCTCTACATCCTTGTCCCATGCTCTCCACTCCTCTAACAGACATAAACTGTATGGGGTTGTGGCATTTCTACTCGCTGTCCCTGCCAGAATGTAAGCTCTGTAAAGATAGAGACTGTCTGCTTTGTACACAGAGTGGCACCTAACATGTACTCTGTACCCTATAAATATTTATGAAATAGAAGTACCAGTAAAGCCAGGAAACAAAAAATAAAGAGAAAAGTATTTTCATACTTTTCATAGTGAAATTCACATTTTTTATTTTATAAGACATAAACTCATTAGAACTGTCGTGCTCCCCTGCCCATATTTTGCAGTTCTAGAATTCTTCTTATGTGTTTAATTTCAAATAGCACTTGAGGGATCTCCAGAATCTGTCTAGAGCCAGGGCCTCCACCAATAGCCATCTGTCCTGATGGAGACACCAGCAGAGCTCTGGGGGCTCTCACCCACCCCAGGGAGACACAGGAAGGGGGAGGGGACACACTCACCTGCAGAGCCCCCAGCAGGTAGCTGAAAGAGTAGAAGCAGGGAGGAGAAATGGGAGAGCAAAGAGCCCCAGCAGCAATCCTCCATTTCCTCTGAGCTGGGGAGACAAAGGGCAGGAGGCAGGTGACACATCCAGAGAGGAAGCAGGGTCAGCCCAGAGCTCTGGGCGTCAAAGCAGACAGCATGGCTCAGGGCTGGCAACAGTCCCAGCAAGAGCACAGCCTTTTCGACTGCTCAGTATGCTGATGAGTTGGGGGTCCCACAATCCTGATGCCAAGAAAGCCCGCCCAGCACTTTGGAAACTTTCCCAGCCTGCTCTGCCCACAGGACCAGACCCTTTCCGCCTCAGCACGAAGGCCTCCTCCATGTCTGCATAAGTCGCAGATGACCACAGAGGTCCAGGGACACAAGGCATAGACTCAGGGCCCTCCCCATGAAGACACACCAGCTCCTGTGTGGTGGTCTTCTGCTGCCCCCTAATTATGACCAGAGAATGACTGAGAAACATAACAATCAGACTGTGTCCTCCTCAAGGACACTGTGGCACCCACCACAGACACGTTATACTGGGGTACTTTGATAGGTGAGTTCACCCTGATTTCAGCTCCTGCCTCCTGCAGCCCTTTTCTGCTCAGGACCAAGGACGTAGACTTGCTCATAACTGAAACCAGACAATTCCCCATGAACGGTTAATCCTCATCTTCTCTATCTTTTAGGAGTTTCTGCCACAGGATAAAGGATCCCAGCAGAGCAGTGGGAAGCACTGGATAAAAGCAGATCTGGTCAAAAAGAAGGGTTTCAAACCACTGACTCTGAGGGGAGAGGGGAGCACATGTCCTGGGAAGGACAGATTCTGAGGCTGACTGTTAAGGTCTCCTCCACACTCAGCAACCTGCTAAAATCACCTGAGGCAAGTTTCTTGACCTGCTCTGCCCCAGGTCCTATATACAATATGGAGAGAGTAATAAGATCTCATTCCATGGTATAAGTAGTATCCTACAAATTTATGTATGGAGAGTGAGTGCACATTAGAACAGTGCCTGTTCCTAGGAACACTACACAAATGTCATTAAGTAAATGAATAAAGTGGAGCAGACACTGTAGTTGTCCTGGGTCATCTCAGAGCCTCATTATTATTCGCACCAGCACCCCCATCCCCACCAGGATCTCAGCGTCCTCCTCCTAAGAATCTGCTCCCCACTTTCCTCTTCTTGTCCAGCAAGTGTCTTCAGAACCCACTCACCTGCTTGAAAACTTGGGGCTTCTGGAGCGTCTCTGACTCAGTACTGTGAGTCCTCAGCCAGCCCCAAATCTGCTCTCAGAGATTGCACATGCGGTTCACTGCTCAAGCCCCAAACCCTGCTCCAGATCCAACATTGGTGCCACAGGCTTCTCTTGTCTGAGAGGCAGGTGGTTCCAGGAGAGCAGAGAAGGACAGCCTGGCACAGGTTGCAGAGGTCTCAGCTGAAACAGGGACCTGGGACACTCAGCACTCCCAGACAGAAGATTCCTGTGCTGACTCCTTCCACCATTTGAAAGTGAAAGCTTACAAAATGCAACCCTAGAAGACTCTGCCCTGCCCTCTGGGCAATGCACCCTAGTTATCAGGAAGGAAACACATGATCAGAGCCAAAGAAACGGGGCAGGTACAGATACACTGACCCACTCTGCTGGGGGACACACAGAGACGGAGACTCCGTAATCCTTTGTTGAACAACTGCCATTCTCCAGGTTGGCTAGCTTCTAGACCAGAAGCAGGGAATGTGTGTGGCACAGCCAAGATTAAAAAAGCCCTATGCTTGGGGCTACTTGTACTTTCTGTTCACTACCAAAACTATTCTGTTGGTTGGTGAATGCTATGTGGCAGGAGCCTTTGAAATGTCCCCAGTGTAACTGCTTTGCTTTTTATCACCAGGAGATAACCCAAGTACTCCCCACAGCGTGGCAACAGAGGGGTTAAGCCTGAGCATCACAGAATCTTCCAGGACCAGCTCCAGGACACTGGCCCTGCCCCAGCTGAATGGACAGCACCCTGTGGCTTCTTAATACTATACTATCACACAAGGCCTGGGTGCACCATTCAGCCCCTCCCCACCAGTGTGCACCAGGAAAGGTGGATTCCGTGGTCTATGAATGAACACTGTGGAGGACTAGGACTTCCGTTCCAGCCCCTGCCTTCCTGCAGTTCCCCATCTCAGTAAAGGACACCTGGGTTCACCCAGTTATGCCTGCCAGAAACTGGAGGGTCATTCCACCACACACTCCACTTTCCCACCCAGTATGCTGCCAGTGCACCAGAAAGTTCCAGACTATTCTCTGATCCATATCCATAGCTACCTTCTAGCTCCGCTCCCATCTCACTCCCCCTCTCACCCAGACACGGTGTCCCTGCTTCCCCATGGGCATCCCCTGTCCACCTCCAGCCTGGCACTCTCAAGGTCATTTTCCATCCAAGGTTATAAACTCTCAAATCATTTTATATCAGCTCTGCTTCACCCCTTCCAGGGATCCCAAAGCTAAACCTCAGCCAGCCCAGCTTCCTCTCTGACCTCATTCCACTACTCCCAGTGCTCCCTCCTGGCCTGGCAACGTTCCTCCAGTTCACAGAGCTATCCTAGCCTCAGGCCATCTCACAAGACCCTGGATGTTCCTGTTCTCCGTCATCCTCCAAACTGGTCACTATTCCAGTCTCACCTAAGGTGACCTCCCTCAGAGGGACCTTCAACAACCTCCTCATCTTCATATGTGCCCCATACACATGCTTGTTGGGGTTTAGTGGTACCCTGTTCTCCACAGCCCTGACATATGATCTCCTGTGGAATGTCCCTGGCATCCACAAAGGGAGGCACTGTGTGCCCTGCTCACGTGTCCAGAACACAGCAAACACTCAGGAAACTGTGCCTGAGCTCATGTGCAGAGAATTCACCTCAGCAGTACATTGGCTTCTGTGTCCAATTTGGAAAACACTTCAGTCCACTGAGAAACAGGAAGACTTAACTCTGACCTAAACAAGTCAGCCGCTGGGTGGATGCAACAACTGCACCAACTTCCCCGCTCTTTTGTTCTTCCTACCCCAAACATATATGCGGCACCAGGCTAGAAAAATATCAGACTCAACCACCTTGTTTGCTCCCTCAAGCCCCCCAGTGCTTGGGTGTTCATGTGCTAAGTGACTGGTGTTAAGACACCAGTTTGGGCTAAAGCCTCCCTGGCCCCACTTCTGCCAGGTTGTTGTCATTATTG